TTGAGGCCATTATGCTAAGTGAAATAAGCCAGTCACAGGACAGATTCTGCGTGATTCTACATATATGATGTATGTAAAGTAGTCAAACTCATCGAAGCAGGATAGTAGAATGGTGGCTGCCGGGGGCTGGGAGGAGGAAGAAAGGGAGGATTGTTGTTCAATGGATATAAAGTGTTAGTCATGCAAGATGGTAAAGTCATAGAGATCTACTGTACAACACTGTGCTTGTAGTTAACAATACTGTTAACTCTAAAATTTGTTAAGAGGGTAGATCTCATATTACATGTTCTTTATCATCTTCATCATAATAAACAGGGCTCTCTCCACTGCTAGTCTAACTGTTGAGATTAATTACCCACAGTTTGTTAGGTCTTGTGTTAAAGCACAATGCCTATCTTGGCAAAAAACAACAATTATCCTTCTAAGCAGCCTGGAGCCATATATTGCAATTGCCATACTTTCAGAAATAAAATCATAAAACGCCAGCACTAGAAAAAATCTTAGAGATAAGCTAACTAACCTCCCATTTTACAAATGGGAAACGTGGGAACCAAAGCTGACAAAAGACTTGAAGGAAGCCCTATAACACATTAATTATTAGAAAAACTAAAAAAAAGTTAAATATAATTGCACTTCCATTCCTAGACCAATATTTTGCTTAAAGAAGTTGTTTGGAATCTGGTCATTTTACTTGAGAACATAAAAGACAAATGCCTGGGTCCCAGTAGAACTACTGAATACAGAATCTCTGGGGGTGGGGCCAAGAATCTATATTCTTAAAAGCTTCCTTGTGATTCTAATGCAGGCAGTTTTCCAACTGGTGTTCACCATTTTGGTTAACCCAAATCCTTATATATCTAGTATATTCTATCACATCGAAAATAAAAGTCACATTAGTCTAACAGACATTCATTGCAAATCAATCTGGATACAGCCTACCTAAAAGGATAGAGGATTATCTCATGTGAATATCAAGCTGTTTTTGAAAATAACTGGATAGTGACAGAATTCTTCAGTGGCTGAATATTCACTCTCTGTGAAATAACTATGAATGCTTTTACTGTGAGGATTTTCTCTATCTCTACAGCCAAAAAGGATGCTTCTCAAGTCAAGCTCCAAACTTATGCTTTTTGGAAGGGAAGATTAAACATTTCCACTCCCACATTTGCCTTACTGAATTAGGGGCAGGAGTGGCTGGCTGGCAACAAAACAAAGAATTCAGAAGGGCTTGCCCTTCCCATTATAGTGAAAAGGAGAAGGCCCAGAGGTTATTTCGGCTAACACTATGAGCGTACAAAGAAAAGGAATACCAAAGCTGGTTAGGTTAAATTCAAACCATCAAAACTTCATTAAGAAGGAAAACTTCCGTTTGTTTAGTCTTTGCTCTGTATCACATTCTGTATCCATCCTTTCCTTCAGTCCCCATGGTGTTGTCTTCACTGTGTTTTATGCTTAGGGTAATGGCCCCAGCCACAGAGTGGCCAGTAAGTGATGGAGATGCAATTCAAGCACAGGTCCCTGTGACCACAAAGCTCCAGCTCTCTTCACCTCTGTGGCATGGTGGGCCAGGAGGGAAATGCCTGTGTCTCAGGAACTGCCTCTGTCCCCAAAGAGCTAAGAGTTCAGTTGGGAGACAAGACACAAGCACAGAAAAAGTATCCCATGCGAAAGGTTGCTAAGATATGAAAAACATATATTTTACCACGTGTACAATATAAGTCAAGTCACTGCTCTTCCCTGACTTTTGGTTTTATATTTTGCATGGAAGTGTTAGAAAAGTTCGTGTAGTTGTTATGAATCCAGGCTCTGGTATCTAATAGCCTGATTTGAAATGTGGCTCTTTTACCACTAACTGCAGATTTAAATCCTTTCTGCAAAAGCCTTTAGGGCCAGATGTGTTTCTAAATATAGGATTGGGGGGAAGGGCAGGGTTAGGAAAGTAATATATAAATATTATACATCACATCCCTCTCCCTAGCAAGTCTGGAGCAGCACTCAATAATGAAACACAAATATTTCTGCAGCAAAACATATGAAGATTAACATCAAGTGAGATGAATAATTATAAATGGTCTGATCTCAGGTCAGATCAGCTTTGCCATAAAATCCATACAAGTCTGACCAGGTTTTGCAGACAAATAACTTTTTAAAAAACCTTTCCATCTCAGAGCCTTTTAGATTCAACTGACTGGACCTGTAGCTGTTAATCATGGGAAAATTAACCAATTTCTTTGTATTTCCAGTTCCTCATTGGTAAAATGGGAAAAATTGTTTGAATTGAATGAATTAATGCAAGTAAATCACTTAGAATAATAGCCCATAGTAAATACTTGTGTAACTGCCAACTATTGTCATTTTTATTACTCCTTATGTTCCTTCCCAGTCTGGTATTCCATGATTCTACATAATCAAACAATATTCAAATAGAGTTTAAGTTTACAGTAGAAGAGAGCTCATGATCTTATGGAGTAACTGCTGTAAGAATTTTATAGAACTAAATTGCTATAATGGCTCCTAATAGAAAGTTGAACACCCCAGGATGGTGTAGTCAAAAAAGGTTTCAGGGGGTGGACCTGTGGCATAGTGGTTAAGTTCAGCACACTGCTTGAGTGGCCCAGGTTCACAGGTTCAGATCCTAGGTATGGACCTACACAACTCATCAGCCATGCTGTGGCAGCAACCCACATATAAAGTGGAGGAAGATTGGCACAGATGTGAGCTCAGGGCTAATCTTCCTCAAGCAAAGAAAAAAAAAAAAAGAAGTTTCATAGAAGAATTGCAATTTAAGGTAACCTTAAAAGCAAGTGGGGTTTTGATAGCTGAAAAAGAAGAGAATGCCATCAGTTGAGAAGTGGAAAGAGAATAGGTTATAGAATAAAACTGACTTGGCTTTGAATACAGCTCCAGCACTTACAAGCTGTATGAGCTCAGACAGGCCATTTAACCTTTCTGACTCCTATTTTCTCCTCTTTAAAGAAATGAGGGCAATAATATCTGTCTTTCTAAATTATTGGGAGACTTGGAAATTATGTATGTTAAGCACACAGCCCTCCATAATACTAGCCATTAGAGGAGGAAAAAAACAGATTTCAAGAAAACATAAAGAAGACCTTTCTTACAGCCAGAGCTTCTCAGCTCTGGGGTGGTTTATCTTGAGAGGTATTGAGCTTTCCATAACCAAGGTTGTTTGAGAATCACTTATTTGAGAAGGGATTACCATTTGCAGAGGTGACAAGACTGGTGCCGCCCACTCTTATCCCTTCCTATCCCTTCCAATGCTGAGACTTTATCATCAGAGATTATGATGAGTTATTTTGGAGTTCATTTTAATTCAAGCTTTCCTTGTAAGATGGAAACTCTAGGAAGCGAGAGTTGGTGGTCTAACTCAGAGGAGATTGGGGACAAAAGAGAAAAAGTTATTTAGGTTGAATAAACCTAGCTATGGCTCTTCTTGAATACCAGGATGAGGATTTAGCTCCAAGGGGATATATGGGTGACATATTTCTGATGTACCTTTTACTCCGCAAGTTCCCCATTAACATTACTCAAAGATGCTTCTTGCCTCCCTACAACAATGGAATTAGGATTCTTTCATTATTGTCTTGTCCCTACTCCTATTCTCAGTTTTCCCCTTCCTTTCTCTTCCTCTGTTCTTTTTTATCTCCATTCCCACTGTCATTTTTTCCGACATACATGTCAACATTATCATCATCCCAAAGTGATTTATAAGAGGTCAAGTGCTATAAGTTAGGAGAAGCAATATGGCAGCTTATCCTTCCCTGTGTATCTGAATGTCCTCTCAACTCCTTGGAGGAAAGGTACCAAATAAACCCAGGCTACTATTATCACCAAGTACCATACACTACAGAGCATATTATTGGTGCCAAATAAATAATTCTCCTTGGCAAGTCAATAGAGCGAGAGAGTGACTAGCCTGCAGCCTGGCTGGAACACAGGTTATACTGACATAGAGCTTTGGAAGGGACCATATATCAAAATAATGGCCTAAGATGTCAATGAGGGACTCGTGTCCTTTCAAGTGGGTGGTTTTAAATAATTTAAAATTCATGGACACTTTGCTGGGAATGAGAATCCAGACTCTCCCTTAAAGAGTCAGATTTGCATCTGCTAAGGTCAACAAGGCTCGCCGTTATCAATATTCACCGTGATGGTATCCTTTGCTTACTTAGCTTTTGTCATCTTTTGCTAATACAAAATTTGCAATAGTTTGAAAGTGGGGAAGCCAATACCTGAAATATCTGACACTGGTATTAATAAATATAATAGTCATACTAATATTTACTGAGCACTATTCCACAGCTATGTGACAGGCACTGCTCTAAACACTTAACATGTATCACCTGATTAAAATCTTTCAACAATCCTACAAAGTTGGTATTATTATGCCCACTTTACTATTGAGAAAACTGAGGCTCCACAATATTCGTAAAATTTCCTAGGGCTATATTGCTGGTAATTGTTGCAACAGGATCATTCTGACTTCAATTTAGCTTAAGTCATAAGCTAAAATGCCTCCTGTATAAAAGCAAAGATTATTAAACAAATTAGTATTTTAACATATTCAGAGGCAATGTTTAAGAAGCCTCAGAGAAAATTATTTTTCAAACATTCTTATACAAATTAGAAGCAGGCACTTATATTTTTAATTATATGTTAATTTCATATTATTCCCATCTGCTACTTCAATGAAATTAACTAAGGATATCCACCAGGCAACACTTACTTAGACTGGTTTTCATAGGTAATAGAAAACCACAAGTCTCTGTATTTCCTAATTTGGGCTAGTCTTCTCATTTAGTATGAAATTGCTCTAAAAAGCTTTAGAGAATGAAGAGTCCTGAGATTAGATATATGATGTTGACTGCCTTAGCAAACTTTTTCTTCCCAGTTCCACGGAATGCATTTCAATTTGAATTAGCCAGCTCCAGATTCACGAATGTTGACCGCGTCTTACTCTGATGTTTCCGAACTTACCAGATGTAAATAAAGGTGAATTATTTCTAATTCTCCAAGCTCCCATGCAGCCAATGACAGGGGACTAGAAAACGGCTTCTGTTTCATTAATGTAGTCCTGGCACCTTCTTGTTCTGTGATTAGGAGGATAGTTACATCATGAGGAAACTGTGAATTAAACAAAGGGGCATTTTTTGCTTAGTGTAAGCATTGGTAAAGTGGAACAGAATTAAGATATCCAATTTCTATCTCATCTCGGACCTGCCACCAAATGGCCAACTTCAGGCAAGTCTCTTTCCTTTCTCTAGGCCCAGATGCTGCCATACGAACAGTTGAGACGTTTGATAAGTGCTTTGGGATTGAATACTGGAATGAATGGACACATAAAGAATAAACTTAGCTGACCAATGTGTGCTATCAGCTCCAACATCTTAGGAAGACCAGGTTTCTTCCTCTGGCTGGAGCAATTGTTTCAGGACCATGACAGTGGAAGAACCATGGCTGGGATTGGAAAAATTTGGAATGGATTTATTAGCTTGGGCTTGGCTTTAACTTGAAGAAGGGCCTACAATTCCATAGACTTCTATTCAGAGAATAAGAATTGTAATATCCTGAAATAGCAGCATTGACTTGGACAGGAGATCCTCTATTCCAACTTCATCATAACATCAGTATCTCCAAGGGAATCTTTGATGCTTTAAATCAAGGAAGAAACGGGCACTTCAAGCTTCCTGGCAGGGCCACAGGCAATCAGTAGGGTCTTGGTGGTCCCCTGAGATGACACAACCTACAACCCACTTTATTTCCACGTAGAAGGCTAGACTCTCATTCCTCTCCTGGAGCAAATGCCTGAGAAAGTTCCTTCAGCTTTGTTTTTGATCTGGACTAGTTCAGAAGATGAATCAGCAGCTTTCCAAAGCCCATGAAAAAGCAGTTCTAATTTAAATGTTCCTCCAACCATACCAGTTCCTGTCCAATGAGTCTAGCTCCCCAGGCTGAGGAGTCTTTGCAGGAAGTCTGACTTGATGGAATTTGTAGCTCAAATCTCCAGTCTTGATTACTTAGCCCTCATTTCTCAAGGAGAAATCAGTTTTCATCATTGACAACTGGCCTGTGCCCAGAAGCTAAGCTGCTGGAAGAAACAGGCTTTAACAGGGTAAAAGGCAAATGGAAGATGAAGTTCATAGGATCTTCCTTGGTGTTTGAGGCTTTTAAATCACTACTGATCAGTCATGGGATAGTTGGCTTTTAATATAATTATCATCTCGCTGCTCTGATGTTAGTAAAACTCAGTTGCAAAGAGGAAAAAATAAGCAAAAAAATGCATATCAAATACAAAAATAGGACTTTTTAAATTTAAGTAGGAAAAGGATGACTTTCTTCAAGATAATTTGCACCTATTTACATTCTTATATACATGCATTTACTCATTCATTCAATATGTACTCATTATACCAAACATTGTGCTGAGGGTAAGGGATATTTAAAGACCCAGGTTCTGACCTCAAGAAGCTTACAGTCTATAAATAGAGATAGATGAGTAAACATACTGAAATAGACAGCAATTCCTCCTTTTTTCCTTTAACCCCGACATCCAATTTTCCACTAAATCTGACATATCCCTTGAACTCTTCTACTTCCCTCCATCTCCACTACTACTACCCCAGTCCAAACCTCCATCATCTCTTGTCTAGACTACTGAAATACCTCCTAGGATGTCTCCCTGAGTTTGCTGACATTTCAATCCTATAATCCACTGTCCACAAATATGCAGAATAAGCTACCAATCTTTTAAAAACATATATTAAAACATACCACTTTACTGCTTAAAATGAGTGGACTCCTGATGCCCTTAGGATCAAACAGCCTCCTAGACTATTTTGACCTTATCAATCTTGTCTTCTCCTACCCTTCCACCTGCCCATTAGGCTCCAGCTACACTAAACCGCTTTTGGTTTTTCATTGTCCTAAATCTTTGCTAGTCTTGTTCCTTCTTGTCATTCAAGCTTCAGCTTAAATGTTACATCCTCAGAAGTGGCCTTTCTGGACCATGCCATCCGTGGTCGCCCTCTAGGGACTTTCTACTTCATCACTCGATTTGATCCTCTTTATGGAACTTACCTAATTATTTTTTATTATTTGTCTTTGTCTGTCTCTATGAGAGCAGGGACTTTTTTGATCTGGTTTACGGCTCCATTCACAGCACTAGAACAGCACCTAGCAAATAGTCAGAATGGCAAAATTAAGCTTCATAAGGACAGAGAGTATGTCCATCTTGTTCTAGCTGATCCCCAATGGTAATACTGTAGGTGCTCCAAAACTATTAGCTGAATGAGGTTTCTAAGAAAGATTCCTTATGCAAGATAATGGGTGACAAGCATGAAGCCTTCCTATGTGGCACGGGCTCCTCATTCAAGGTGGTGGATCAATAAGTATGGGCAAACCATCTTGTTCATAATAGGTTCAAGGAGAATAATGACAGAGCAGAATGAAATATGTCTATATTTCCATCTACTAAATAATAACATATTATTAATGATGATAATACATAATTTCTAGCAAAAAAAGTGACTCATTGATGATCATGGTAATTTACAAGGAAAGATAAAAAATTATATTCTCAAATTACTCCTTTTGTCATGTATAAATTTGCATTGTGTTTGCATGCATGTATATATACACATATATATGTGTGTGAATAAGTGTGTGTTTGCGTTCAATGAAGAGAGGGAATATCTACACATGTAGACAAAAATCAATTTCCAATAAAAATTTCTGAAAAATGCCCATCATCCCAGCCAAATATGTATCCCCCTGACCTGTCCTTTTACCTGCAATGCCCATATTATTCATGACTCCAAGATATCATTTGGAAATCCCTCTTCTAAGATGAAAATAATATATACACGAGGATCCATAAAACTCATTTTTACCTTTGCACAGAACATTTGAGTTTACAAAGCACTGACAAATTTATCACCTCCTCTAATCTGTACAGACACTATTGTTCCTGTGATACAGATAAGGAAATTGAGAGATTAAATGGCTTGTGCAAAGTGTAACAGCTGATCTATGACAAATCCAAGATCAAAACCTGGCTCTTTTGGCTCAAAGGAGAGATTAGAGTATAGGGCCCTACAGTGGCAAGTGTTGATCATGAAATAGTGACGGGACTCTGGAAGCTGAGATGCTAGAGGAAGGTGCAGCAGTGAGAGAAGAGTTTCCATATAGCCAAGCAGTGAGCTAGATGGGAGATAAAATTTGTCCAGATCTGAGTAAAGAGCTTCCAGTGGTCATTTCCTTTCCAAGGCATCTGGCCTCCCAGTTATTCCTTCTCCACTGGGATTAATCCATCACCAGACTCAGAGCCATTTTCCAAGTTATTAATCATTTGGGAGCAGTGCTGCCTCAGCAAGAACCCAGCAAGGTGACTGCTAAAAACCAGGAGAGGACAAAATAAAACTGGAGATGGGCAATGAGACAGACAGCCAGAGGAACTCAAGATGGACACAGCAGCAGAGTCAGAGAGGCAACCCCGTAGAGGTGCCAGAGACCAGCATTTAAATAGGACAGAAAGCAAGCGAGCATGTGGGACTACTGAACAATTTAAAATCATAATTCATCAACTTCTTTGCTGCCCAACCATCACTGCAGGATAATCCCAATTCTAGGACTTGAAATTAGGCCATTCATTTCAAAACTGTGAAGTGAAGTCTTCAATAGATGATGAAGTTGGAATCTCCCTATCTAAAATTCAATGAAAGCTACCTTTGAAGTCCATGCAGTAGGTGGGATAAATGTCGTAGAGTCCACCTACTGCTCTTGATTGAAATCAAGTATGTGTTCTGGGAGATCTGCCCTGTGTTGAACTTCCCATTCCAGTGGATAGCCAATGCTGGGGCTCAGCACTCAGTCACAATGAGTCTGACCTCAAGCATTTGACCCCATTTAGACCAGTTTGCCTCCTGAGTCCTTTGATCAGGCACTGACTCACAACCTTCGCCTCCGACTCAGCCCTGAGCATGACCAAAAACTGTGCCCTGCTCCCACTCAACGAATAAGACCTGACCTCAGCTACAAACTACCAAACTTACTCCGGAAACTAGCCACAGACTGCCTTCTAAGCCTGGGCACAGAACTAGCCCTAACCCCAGCCAATCTGGGCCCTAATCCTGACCACAGAGGAAAGGTATTCATTAATTCTTATTCAACAACAATTAAAGTGCCTACTATGTGCCAGTCTCTCTGTTGGCAATAGGGATATGGTAGTTAACAAAATATCCATGCAAGACAAACACAGACAAAAAGTCAATTAATTACAAGTTTGTATTTACTGTGATGATTTAACTCCAACATAAATTGACTCCAGACCTCAGTCAGAGATTGACTCATAACTCCCAGACACAGACTGAGCCAGAGCGGAGACTGAGTATCTACACCAACTGAAAATTTGGAGGAATTATAGGAAGAGCTTCTTTAAAACCACTTCACGCAATACTGGGATTTGGTGCCCTATAAAGGCCCGACAAGCTGCAAAAGCAATCATTCCATGTGTGGTGATGTGGATAAAAGCCAATAAAGCTCCCGTGTGATACTGAAACAGAAGAGACAAACACACATGGAAACACACTCTAGTTTAGTAGCATTGGCCAGGAGTGGGGGATAAAGTCTGCTGTGTGCACATTAATCATTAACAAAGTACAGAGGACGAGATGGAGGCAGAGGGTGGAAAGAACTAAAGGATCTAGAGTAATACTTGAAAAACTTTCTGGGAAGGTGACGGAATTTGAAGGGTTAAGAAATAGGGACAGAGAAAATGGATTCCACATAGAGAGATCAGTGTGTCAAACTTGGAGTGTGGAATGCTCGTGCTGTGTTTAAGAGATGAGATGGACACCTTAGGAGGATAGGGTAGGGGCAGATATAGTATGGAAGAGTAAGTGGGGTCATTTTATGGCCAGACTTAAATGCCAGGCAGGGGCGCCCAACAGCAAGAGAATATGTTTATATATTCAGTTCAGTTTGGAAAACATTTATTAAGATTCAGCTATGAGCTTTTTATTCATTCTTGTATACCCGGGACTCAGCTTTAATCTTTTAGCAATACCCAACTAACATGGAAGGGACAAGAACAAGAGAGAGTAAACGAAGAGAAAAAGGCAAGAGAAGATCAGAAGGTTCCACTGACAATTCTCCAACAATGAAGCCAGAATTGTACCATCAAGAACTTGGAAAACTCTCTAGAAATGGATCTCATTGATTAAACGACCTTGAACTAGCCTCATAAAGAGCAATTCTGTAGCCTCGACATTGGGACCATCCGGAGTTGCTTTTTTTGGCCTCCAGTCCCTCCTAAGTATTCAAGGGTACTAAAGCAATAGTTGAGACTAGGAGGTTAGAGGTTAGAGAAACTCATGACAAAACCTTGAGCGGTAAGGTTTCCTTATCACTGAATTGAATCCCACAGGGTATAAAAACCAGGGAAAGGTCACTTAATAAACTTTTCCCCCAGATCCTTTTAAGTCCAAGAAACTAAACCTGAGTATCGTACCCACTGTCCCACCTGGCTCTGCCAAAGAGTCAAGTTACAGGAAAAGGAAGGAAGAGGATAAGAAGAGAAACTAATTCACTACAATTGGGGTTAATCCCACTCAAAGCCTCCAACCACGTTAGCAGCTAATCCAGTTAGCACAGCTTTCATGCGGAGCTTTGATAAATCCTTTAGCCTCTTGCTAGAACCACAGGTCCCTGAAGAGCTCAGCATTCATGAGGAGATTCATCAATAATGCAGCAGATCTGGCGCTTGACAGGCTTATCAACACGTTAGCCCAAACCAAGACCTCGCTCAAAGCCAGAGCCTTCCCAGACATCACTGGCCCTTGCTGAATCTCACCTACTACATAGTTTTAAAGCACACAAACCAGCTCTTACATTTTTAATCTTGCATTTCTCAAAAGCCGTTTTATGTGTGATTAAACTGTTGTTCCTAACCAGATTGTAAAATCCTTGAGATTAGGAACTGTGTTTGAGATTTCTGCAGAGAATCCCCAGAAGTACTTAGGACAGAGTTGGACAGAGTAGAAGGTCAAAAGACATCTGCTTTATTGGTTTATGGATAACACCAACCTCTTAGATACCAAGACTCAATGTATATAGCAATGACACAGACTTTGAGTACTGGCCTCCCCCTTTTCTGTGAGGTTACCCTGATATTCTGCATTGCTATCTGGGACCTCTTATAATTTCATCTTGTAAATAGGAATCCAAATTTTGAATAATTCTATACCACTCGTAGGATAAACTCGGAGAAATTCAACTCTAATATTTCCAACCTATGTTCTTAAACATTTGTGATTCTGGTAAATGTATACAAGACAAAATTTACCATCTTAATCATCTTTTTTTTTTTACTAAAGATTGGCACCTGAGCTAACATCTGTTGCCAATCTTTTTCTTTTTCTTCTTCTTCTTCTTCTTCTTCTTCTTCTCTCCAAAGCCCCCCAGTACATAGCTGTATATTCTAGGTGTAGCTACTTCTGGCACTGCTATGTGGGATGCCACATCAGCATGGCTTGATGAGTGGCAGCTAGGTCCACACACAGGATTCAAACCTGGGCTGCCGAAGCAGAGTGCATGAACTTTACCACTCAGCCACAGGGCCAGCCCCTCATCTTAACCATCTTTAAGTGCACAGTTCAGTGGCATTAAATATACACACAACGCAAGCATCACCACTATTCAATTCCAGAATATTTCATGATCGCAAACAGAAACTTTGCACCCATTAAACAATAACTCCTCATTCTCCTCTCCCCCCACGCTCTGATAACTTCAAATCTATTTTCTTTCTCTATGAATTTTGCTATTCTAGGTACCTCAAATAAGTAGAATCTTAAAATATCTGTTCTTTGTATCAGACTATTTCACTTAGCATAATGTTTTCAAGGTTCACGAGTTTGGGGAATTGAAACTCCATGTTGTGGCATGTGTCAGAATTTCATTCCTTTTCACCGCTGAATAATATTCCATTGCATGTATGTACCACATTTTGTTGATCCATCTATCTGTTGATGGAGATTTGGGTCGTTTCTCCTTTTTGGCTATTGTGAATCATGCTGCAGTGAACACGGATGTACAACAATATGTTCAAGTCCTTGATTTTCATCCTTCTGGGTATACACATAGGAGTGAAATTGCTGGATCATATGACAATTCTA